CTCAACCATCATCTAGCCTAACGGATTCATAGAAGTGATCACTTTGTGAGGTCAAGATCATGGACAGATATCACTACGAGTGACGAACAGCTTCCATCACCACCTTCTGAAGCGGCAGTCTGCCACTTTCATCCTAATTTAAACAAGATAATCTTTTTCTTTTAATAAAATAATAATCCTTTTATTTCCGTTTTACACCATGTGCTTATATCTTAACTCAGTCATCGGGTTTGTCTAAGCGAATTTCAGCCACAGATTCCACACATCACACAGCATGGTCCTATGTGCCGCAGAATTTCAGGGGATCACATCAGAACCAAGCTGTCTCACTGCTGTTCACCGGTAAAAGACTTGCCATTTATTTCTTCCGTTCATCAAACCGCAGTGTGGGCCGAATTCCTTGATCAAGGGAATTAGCAGCAAATTAGAGAAAACTTGACCCGCTACTTATAGTTAGAACGTGACACGTTTAAAGTACAAGGTAAGCTGTTCATTACGTCACTGTCCCCCTCCCCCAAATGGGAATAAAAAATTCAGGACAGCACAAAACGGTGTCTACGTTGTGTATGAAAAATACCAGGGATCTTGGCACCTGATGACATCCAAAGTTTTGTCGTCTGCAGCACTTGATTTTCGACGTATAGTCGTTGATCTCCGCACGCTTCTGCTTCTTGACTAAGTCGCGCCAGGTTGATTATTATTGCTTCACAGGCAAATCAACCAAAGTAATTGAAACAATTTGAAACGACGCAACGTACCGCCGTGTAATCAGCTATTAATTCAGGCCTGGACATTTTTTATGCACAGAGATACACCTTTTTTGATCAAAAATTCTCTGACGACCATTCAATGTTCGCATCGTACTGTGCATGGGCAAGGTGGTCAGTGTAAAGTAGCGTAGTAGTGTAGTAGTGTTTACAGACTTTACATCAGATCAAAACGCGTACCTGTATCGCCGTCCTTGCGGCGGCGGGATGGTCGGCGATTGACTCGGTGTCGGTGTGCGGCTCTTTTCCAACGCGTCTGGCTCCATGCTGGAGTTGTTACTTCCTGACTGTCCAGCTCCCATAGATAGTGACTCTGAGTTTTGGCTGTGATGAGCAATGGAGTTAGACCTGATGACAAACCACTAGATATGGGCAGTATAATCAGGTGTGGACGGTGTCAGTACATTGCTGCCGCGAGCTCATGCTGGACGACGGGAAATGACCTATGTTTCGGAATCGACTGATCGACAGTGATCGTTAGAGACGCACTGCCAATAATCAGATTAAGTTGCGCGTGAGGTACTTTGCACACCCTCACTCGTCGAGTGCACTTTCCAACCACGGCATCGAATTCGTTCAATATGGTTCGAGTCGATTCGATTCCTTCAGATCGCGTTGCACTAGGAGACGGCATATTTTGTCTATCGAACTTATTCAGCCAGCTGAACATCGATCATTACGCTGCAGAAGTCAAAACCCTCCTTCCATAAATCTACTGGTGCATCGTTGTTTGAGAGGGGTTCCAGTGACATTCTGTGAGGTCAATGGTTATGAACAAGATATCCATGCACCCGCGACACCCTCCCTTCTCGTTGATCGCGTAATCATCTGTCGTTGCGCAATCGATTTGCTAGTTGCCTTCGGAACCATACTGCTTACAGTCTTTCGTAAAAACTCCCTGCCTCGGTAGGAGCTGCCCTTTTGTGACTTTTACGTCAGGCGTCAACATCTCCTTGATCGTTGTGACCATTCAGTCTATCTGTTGATAACATAACAGGTGTCCGTCACAGTAAACGGTGTTGAATCGAAAAATTTCAGAGTTGGCACTGGTCCTCGCCAAGGCTGCGTTTTGTTCCCTCCCCTGTTTATATTGTACAAGGACAGAATAGTCAGGAGGAGCCAAGGCGATGAGTGTATCGGTGTACGAGATGTGGAGAGGATACAATTACTGTGTGCAGACGACCCTGTTTTATTGGCATCTTCTGAAACTGATCTTCAGTGCTTCAGAGAGAGGTTCGCAGCCGAATGCGACTTGACCGGCATGGGTGAACACATGTAAAATGAAATGCTTTCTCGTTCTCCTGCCCGTTTCTCTAACCAAATTAATGGAGAAGTTCGGGTACCTTGAGGTCATGCTCTCTGATAATGGAAAATGCGACGAAGAGATCGACCGATGAATTGGAATGGCCAACGGCGTTCTGCATGAAGTAGCCCAAACCGTTGTGACTTGAGTAGAGCTGAGTCTGAAGATTAAGTCTCTGTATTCAAGTCGATCTTCATTCCGATGTTCACCTACGGTCGTGAATCGCGGGCCGTGATTGGGCAACGCCGATCCAGGGTACAAGCGGCTGAAATGGGCTTTCATGAACGAGTTGCTGGCCTTACGCATCTCGACATGGTACGGTACACTGACATCCGAGAGAGTCTTCGTGTACAGCCTTGATGTGATGGTTTGGGCACGGTTGCGAATGCCTGCAGAAGGGAAGGCGAAGCAACTGATGCTTAACCAGTCGACTACAGGAGACCTAGGGAACGACCAAAATTAACCTGTTGCAAGTATATTGAAAGAGTCTTCTTTCGACTGCGGTTGTCTTCTGCTGAAGCTCAGATACAAACACAAGACCGGGAACGTCGGAATCGTTGTCTGATACCTTTCCAACTCGTAAAGATAATCGGTCTCTGAATCTGACTACATTAAGCAGTAGACCTTATTCTATGCGTGCTCACCATCAGTGGCTCGACTGAGTCTTAATGCTAAACTCCCCAAGCCTGTGCCAAAAAATTCTGTCTCCTGTTCTTGTTCAAAGTGTTCCAGCAAACTTCTTAATTTTACCTTGATGATTCACGTCAGTCGTTGCGTTTTTGGACTCTTGGGTCCAGCCATGATTTGCTGACGTGTTTATGAACAATTGGACATTTGGGGCGCGGTGGCAAAAAGCACATAGATCAACGTCCAACTCCCAAAATACCGTATTCAAATTGTTAGAAGGGCAAACTTTGGCCTAGGCACTAACTCCGTTGAGCAAGGAATTTATCGTAACTTGTTTCATTGCCACCAGCTGAGAAACGGTTAGCGAATGGCCGACTTGCGAATAACAGTGATGGCATGGTGTTCTAGTATGCTCATGCCAGAAAGGACGTGGTGTAGATCACGCTGAGTGATGCGAGCACCTCATACGGCTACAGTTTTATATAACCTACCTGATAAGTGACTGTTCAATTTGATAATCAGCACAAGATACCCCTGCCGTTGTTGCTGTTGTGTTGACAGTGCTCTTTCAGCCGTTTATTGCAGTTCTGTTTCAGGAAAAACACTTTTATTAAAAACCTGATCAGAAGGATTGTGGTGATCCGCTTTAATCTCCAAACAAATGGCGAATTAGATTTATTGGTTAGTTACTAAACCGGCGGTGGCGACCTGTCGAGAGACAAACAGAAGGTACGAAAGAGATTTCATGAATGATACTAGGAACAGCGAGGAAAATAATAGACATTTATTCTCTTTCGTAAATTCTTCATTGATGTAAATATCCACGAAATGAAGGATAATATATACATTTATGATTATCATTTGAAATCTATGCAATGGTTAAGGCAAAAGTCTTGAGACGTTCGTAAGTTTTAAGGCGCACTTAAATGATTGGATTTAGTCCCGCGCATTATTCTTGATGGCATTGTTTTAAATGCGAGTAATAACCCCGCCCACTCCCCGCACCCGAGTAAAGTTTCCTGCATTAACCCAAAGCTATTCTGGAATCAAAGATCTGTTACGCACGTTTTAGGCATAAATTTGGATAGAAGGTTCTCTATCAAGCCATTATTCTTGTCGAATGGTATTTTCTTCACCTAAAGTTTCATGCAGCTCTGACTGCCGGTTGATTTGAAAGTAATACAGCAAAAATGACAGAAAATTCTTCAGACATTGGACCGCATAAATGAACCCTGTACGTAGATCTGCTGTCTGTGGAATTTCCGCATCTACGGTCATCTCTCTTCTCATAGGGAATGATGTGGTATGCCTGACGGTAGAATATAATTTGGTTAGAATAGTATGATATAATGTAGTATTTCAGTACACATTATAATAGTAGTAGAACATCGTCAAATTGCATTTTTTCGGTGATTCAATGAAAATGTTTTGCTGGACCATATATTCGCTAGAAAACCAAAGAATTCAATTCAACGAACACGGTTTACTGGTTGAGGAAAGATAACTTTGGTGACTGGCGGATATCACCTCTGCCTCAACCAATTGCAACCGGCTTCCGTAACAACTCTAAACCATCCCTTAGTAGAAAAAGAAAAATTACGCGCTATGTCGTGCCATAAGCTATTGAATGTCACCATGCTTTTCGATTCAGTGGTTAGCGACGACTTTATTATGAACACCTTCTTCGAGCATCGAAAAGTGCATCAGTACACCTGGTACCGGGAAGCTTGTGCAC